CTGTTAAATAGGACACCAGTTAGCTTAGCATAAAGAAGAAGGGAAACAGCTCAGTTATGTCCAATGATAACACAATGAATTGACCACCAGTACCTTTACAGCTCATTTTCAAATCTAGATTCCCCTCAGTCAGTTGTTATTTTGTATTATTTGAATTTTTGTAGTTATTTACAATTTTATCAAATTTGTTTAAAGAGGCTGAGTTATTAAAACTAATGATGAGCTTAATACAAATTTCAGAAAAAGTACGTTTGTTGGCAAGTAAAATAATATACCCTAAAGTGTTAGCATTCAGATTAGCATCAACATCAGCATAAATCAATCCATCTGGAAGTAAAGTGAATCCGACAGCTTCATGGCTGCAAAAACAGTCCAAATATAGCAACATTTCCCTAATATTTACAGATGTACCAGTTAGCTAATCTGAGATTTGGTGTAATTTCCTTTTATGGAGAGAAGCCATGTCCATCGTGGGCAACATTACCTTCGGTTACTTTAATAACAACAACAGAATGGGAAGTTTTAAGGCCAAGGCTCTATGTTTAAAAGTGGATACATGAATAGAAATGTACCAATTCCTGGAGCACTCTGTTATATGGACTCGTTTGATAAAAGCCTGCTGTCTATTAAAGTAAAAGGGTACTTTAAATAAAAGTATGCTGGTACTGAGTGGTTTCTGCTGGTTGTTTTTTTCTCTCTTTTCAAAAAGACTAACCTCCAGACACCTAGGGTGTTTCTCAATGTCGAGGACGCTTCCTTGGAAGGACAAGTCCCTCCGAGTCAGGTCCTTCAGAAGCGATGCAAGAATCCTTCCAAGCCTCGGAAAACGAAGAATTGTGGAACATGCTAACAGGTGTGCGTCATATGCGAGGCCCCGCCTTAAATTGGTCAGTGCGCAAAGCATTGTGGGGATTTTAAGACCGGAGGATACTCATGTGCAGCCTCGAAATTTCTCGCAACTAAGTCAATACACTCTCACTCCCTAAGCGTCCAGGAGCGACGTTTGTTCAGTGTCCGTGGCATCCAGTTGTGACGCTCCTAGGCTCCTTCAGCGTCATAAAGGGACGCAAATAGCTTTGCAATATTGCAATGTATTCCCATCTGCGGCGGGATTTGACGCTCATGGAAGCACGGCATTCGTTGTGAGCAAAGTGATCGTCCATTCCCATTGGATAACGGAGAATTGTACACCCGGAAGTAAGTATTCCTCTTAATGTCGATTGATTTTACAGTGATATCTGCACTACTCATCGACTAAAAAACACCAGATTATCCTTGTTAATTACACAACATTGATTGGTTTAAATTGTGTGCAATGCTTTTGTATTTTTCCCCTTCGATTCGGAGAAACAAATATGTTTTCGGAGTAAAGGATGGCAGAAGACACTACCTACCCAGAATCCCCAGCTATCGTTTGGACTACACCATGTGCTCTGTTTGACAAACCCCGTTTTTTTTCACCATTCATTCCTGGCGATCTTCAAATTTCTCCCTGCAGAAAAAGAAAACATGGCCGAACTTTGTTTTATTCTCGATGGAAAATGCCTATTTTAAAGTTAGTTTGGCCATTAAAATGCGTTTTGATGTCATTTGATGCGAGAAATACGAGTTGTTATTTCAGATTATGTGTGCAGTGGATGTACATGATCTTTAGTTTGCTAGTTATTACGAAGATTACTTCAGGAAATCGCGACGTTTTCATTGTTACCAAGGTGGTTGCTAGGGACGCTGCTATCGATATTATTTCTGTTATGTTGTGTAACTGTTTAATGGTGTTATCTTTATTGCTACCCCCTTCCCCGTCAATGTATAGTGTTGGTCCACAGCGCAAACATATTAGTTTAACAAAATCCGCATCTAAAGATAGCCTACGTTATTTTCCCCTGTGCAATTCCAGTCTCACATCTCACAGCACATCGTCATTAACAAATACCGGAAACAGACCGAAAACATTTAAAAATAAAAATAATAATACTTTATTCCGAGTGTGCTTGCTTTTCTCTTTGGAAGTCATCACATAACGGCATTGTAATACACGGTTCGGCTGCATTAAATATTACATATCTGCCGTAGTTCTGTATTTATAGAGCCCTGATGAGAAGACTTCTAGACAAACATGAGGAACTGAAAACGTGACGTGGATCATAAATATATCAGCCATAAAACAACATCTTACATTTATTTTCACACAATACGTCTCCTTGCAGTATCAACACTAATTCGGCTGACTTTTATATTTGATCCAATTGGTAGATAGGCTGTATTTACACCATAAAGGTGCACAGCTGATATAAAGGGACACCTAGTGGTTAAAGCATGTTATTGAATTTCATTATTTTTATTATTAGTAGGGCCGGGACTCGATTAAAAAAATTAATCTAATTAATTAGAGGCTTTGTAATTAATTAATCGAAATTAATCGCATTTTTAATCACATATAAATATTTGACCTAAGAACAGTGAGAAGCAATTTTTTTCACATGGATTTTAGTATACCATTAGGCGCATTCACACCGCAGTACTTTTCCCACAAAGGTTCATGAGAACTTGGTTCATGAGAACTCTTTGAACCTGGGAGTGGATTAGGCAAATGAAGCTGCTGACGTCACTTCTTCTTCTTCTGCTTTGGGTTTACTGGCAGGCCGCAAACCACTTCACGGCGTATACTGCCGCCCAAAGTCCCCGGCCAGAAGTCCCCGGAGTTGGGGACTGGCTTCAGTAGAAGCTGCTGGGAGTCCCAGCAGCTTCTACTGAAGCCTTCCGAGTAAATCGCCAGAACGCCGACACCTCCTCATCTCCACCGCTCCCATGTTTTATTTTGTGTTGCCATAAGTTAGTCTCTCTGCGTTTCTGTGCTGGGCTAATGCTAATAATGCTAATGCGAGGATATGGCGACAATGGCGGCTTCACAAAACTTTTTGGGAGTTTTACGGGGCGTGGTTTGCAATCCGCCCAGCCAATCAGACATATAGCTCTCTTCTCACAAGAGAGCCGTACGAAAGTCCCTGCTCTCTAGCAGGGACTTTCGTGGGGTGAACTAATTTTAGTACCGGCTCTTTTTGGTGTGAACGCGATAAAAGAGGCTAACGTCCACGCTAGCTGCTATATGTTTTGCATTGAGGTGATACTTGAGGCTTGATGTGCTGCGGTGATATGCGAATTCCTTTTTGCATAATTTGCACACAACCGTGCTCTTATCGACGCTTCCATCCGTCCGTTTTTTAAAACAACATTTACGCCTGAAACTCATCCAGTGAGAAACGTTCCGCGGTGCAAAAATAAGTGCGATTAAAATGCGTTAATTTTTTAACGCGTTATTTTTCTGTAATTAATTAATCTTAATTAACGCGTTAAAGTCCCGGCCCTAATTATTAGATATTAATAGGATCCCTATAAAGTATATTCATTACTCGTTATTCTCTACTAATAGTTAATTAAAGACTGTATATAACTATTATGTATATGACTATTTTGCACATCCCTTTCAAGATTTCCTAAGGTTTATTGACATATCATATAGGCCTACACAACTATGGTGTAGTTCTGCATTGAATGAAAAACTTGGGTCACAGGTTCCTCAATAGTGCAATACAAGACATCTATCAATATTTGTCCATACCTCCAGCAATGTTAACTATGTTGAAGCACTTATTTTAACTGATATTATACATAATGTATTATACTCTTATAAGATGTATGTATATATTTCATCTCCGGCCTTGTCAGGTATTGAACAATCAATAAATAAAGAACACAGAATTGTTAAATATAAAACACAGAATTTGTGTGATTATACTAAATGATTTACAAATAAACACCACTGCATATTTACAACTGTTACACATGCTGATGTAACGCAAATGTTCCAACTTGGGATCAATAAAGTATATCTTATCTTAAGCTGATCGATGGCTACTGCCATATTTGTAAAATTTGCCTCTGAACCTTGACAAGTGCATGTTTCAGGCTTATCAATTAATGTAATGTTATCAATTAACAACAGGGGTCACAAACATAAGACCAGCTGTTAAATAAAGCTCTTCTGACCTTAGCTGGCATGTGTGTATATATATATTAATGCTGCGCATTATGGGCACAAGCAATTTTCACCCATGTATTAATTATATGTTTTAAATTTGAGTGTTTCCTATCCCCTAAACCTCCAGGGATGTACACAGTTTAATACTGGCACCACCAGTACCACCCTGAGCACGCACAGCGCGGTGGACCCGTTCAAATCCAGTTTTGGACAGTCTGCCGTGGTTCCATCCCATTTCAAGTGCTGTTCGAGGCTCGGCAACCCTCGGAGCACACTCTCCAATCACAGAGCTTGAGGACTATCACGGGGTTTGTCAAACAGAGCACATGGTGTAGTCCAAACGATAGCTGGGGATTCTGGGTAGTATAGTGTCTTCTGCCATCCTTTACTTCGAACAAATATTTGTTTCTCCGAATCGAAGGGGAAAAATACAAAAGCATTCCACACAATTTAAACCAATCAATGTTGTGTAATTAACAAGGATAATCTGGTGTTTTTTTAGTCGATGAGTAGTGCAGATATCACTGTAAAATCAATCGACAGTAAGAGGAATACTTACTTCCGGGTGTACAATTCTCCGTTATCCAATGGGAATGGACGCTCACATTGCCTTTAAGGGCAGCTGACACAAACGAATGCCGTGCTTCCATGAGCGTCAAATCCCGCCACAGATGGGAATACATTGCAATCAGTTGAAAGCTATTTGCGTCCCTTTATGAAGCTGAAGGAGCCTAGGAGCGTCACAACTGGACGCCACGGACACTGACCAAACGTCGCTCCTGGACGCTTAGGGAGTGAGAGTGTGTTGACGAAGTACGCCGGCCTCGGTAGAACTCCAAGTATGCTGGACATTGGAACAGTCCTTCGGCGGCACTCGATGACGTAGCATTCTTGACATTGAGAAACACCCCTAGAAATAAAATGCGGACATATTTCTCATGCATGACGAATAAGACTTCAATACTGAAAACAATATTTATTGTGGCAATGCCGAGGTTTTAAAATCAATCAAAACAAGTTAACGTTGGCCGATGAGAATCTAAAAAATAAGTTTTAAATGAGCAAGTTGGCAGTTGTATTATTGTTTATCCACATGCTCAACATGCCAATCAACAGTAGTCTGGATGAAATTGTACAGTATTTTCAAAAAGGTAAATGCAATGTATTTTAAGCTACAACAGCAGGATACCAATTATAGTGTAAGTCTGTCAATGTTAGATTGACAAGCGGATAAAATAAATATAGGGGATTCATAAGTTAATACAAAATAAATCTAGACTCAACAAGTTAGATGTATAATCCATGACATTCACAGAACTTCTCCCATCGCTTATTTTATTAAAGAGTATTTCAAACCATAAAATAAGTGCCTCAAATCCCATACTATGTAACTGACCTTTTAATGAATGAATGGTCCAGAAATGTGAAACTCTGAAACCCCAACATAATAAGCAAGGCATGAATTGTGTTCATAGAGTGAAGAGAAGTTACTCCAGACCTTAAAGCAGCCACCAGAAAAATATCTGCCATCACGTTTTTCCTGAGTTTGAGTCCTTCCCGCAAAAGATCCATTTAGATTGTGACCATGAAAATAATTCTGGAGAAGACCCCCCCGCCGGGGTCAACGCTGTTTCTGCGTCTCAGCTTGTGGAGTGTGGAGAGTTCAGACAAGGTCATTCTTCCCCGAGTCCTCTGACAGTCTGTATTTGTGCTCCAGCACATCAACCGTAGAAGAGAGGGCGCTGAAGACAGAATCACAGTCATTTCATGTACCAAGCGTCCTGAAGAGCCATGTTTGAATCTGATGCAGAAACACCAATAATTACTACAGCATTTACATATCCTGAATCCACACGCTTTGTTTACTAGTTTCCCAGAGATTCATAATTACATCTGGTGCTGCAGGTGCACCCCCCCCCCCCGCCCAGTGGCGGAGCACATTGTGATGACAGTGTTGCTTTAATAGAAAGCACAGCAATAAACCAAAAATGACTTTCTAGAAAATTAGCCTATACTTCTCCCTTTGCTGTAAATGTACTTACCTGCAAAATCTGAGGATGTTATTACTCTCCAGTTTGCATACATTTGCTTTGTCTCTTGTGCTATGACTAACAAATGTAAGAATACATTTCCTCTTTGCTCAACTTTTCCCTGCTAATGTGCATAGGCAGTCATCAGGGCCTCAAATCCATACTACAGTAAGTACTAACTCTATACAGAACATGCACTACATACTGCTCCTTGTATATTTGTTACAGCAGTTCATATTGAATTCAGCAATGATGCAATACGTATAACATCAGTTGTAAATCATACTGAAACTTTGGAAAGCTACTGTTGATTTCACTTCACAAAGAAACGTAAAACATTTTTTCCCAAGCTTTATTATGGAAAGAAACAATACCTTTTTTTTTTTTTTTTTTTAACAATGCTGTCTCAATACTGACACTTTAGAAAGGACACTTCCATGAAGTACACTGTGTACACTATTCACTTACTTGGGTAGTGCGTGCATTTCAAAGTGTCTTCTCAAATCTCAAACGGCTGTTATAGACTAGCCAGAAATGAAAATCCCAACATCGGACTGCTTCTTCTTATTTGAATGGCACATTTCAAAACAGCGATTGTCACCCGCATAATATTATATCATAATATTGCTTACTTGAAATCTATATGATTCTGGCGTTCATCGAAGCGACCGCCACACGGTAGGGCTGCTCAATTAATCGTATTTTAAATCGCGATTACGATTATGGCTTGCAACGATTACGAAAACAACGTAATCGAAATAAAACGATTATTTTTTATTATTACTTTTTTTGGTTTGGTCTTTCAGTTGAATTATACTTAAAGTTCAGGGTAATCAACTTTTAAAAACATACTGTTCACATTTTTATTCTCCAATAAATGGATGTTTTCAAAGTCAATGAATAATCGCATTTAATAATCGTAATTACAATTATTGACCCAAATAATCGAGATTATGATTTTTGCCATAATCGAGCAGCCCTACCACACGGCTAAAGCTCTGGATGGTAAGACACTATAAGTACCCCACACTTTGCCATACTTGTGGGTATTAACACACCAATGCACTCATAGTATCAAGTGTAAGTATGCAAATCAGGAAACAGTCAAACATTTTGTTCGAGCCGTTTTACCACCACTTTAAAAAGTATTTTTATATTTTCCACCTGTAAGCATCCTCCAAACTAGTACTCAAAACGGACTGGATTTAGTATAATATGCATACTGTCTGCTTTGAGTATTCTACATGTTGTCACCTTTCCCATTTGCATCCTAAAAAACTGCTTCAGAATCAGAATGTAAGGACACTGCATATGTATATTATGAAAATGCACATCATTACTCTGTCAATGATGTAGTGTTGTGCAATATTACATTACCAGATAAACTGCAGCATCAGCCTCATACAGACAGCTCTAATCAATATTTAGGAAAAAACCCTGATCCACCATATCACATCCTTTGTGATCGTTGCATAGAAGTATAATGTGACCTTTATCTTTCAAATCTATGTTGTGAAAGTATACAGTAATAAATAGTCAAGAGGCCGAAAACATATATCATAGGTCAAATGTAAAGCCACCTAATTGCTCAGTGCAATTTAAGAAAAGCTGACTGCATATAAGACCAAGTTTGTATTTTTTGTAATAAACCTTTAATAGTTCTTTGTGTATTGTAAAGGTTAAGTGCTCCTGTATACCATATGATTTCATATAGAGAGAAAAGGGGCACGTCTAGCCGCAGCTAAAGTGTAAGTTAAGTCAATAAGAGCATGAACTCACCAGCCTGGTCTGATGATGCGGTATTTGCCGAGTACTGATAAGTCCACCACTGTTGATCCGAGGCGGCTGTGGTCTCCTATTGGTCCGTCGTCCACCACCACTGCTAGTTTGGGCCAGAGCTCCTGGAACTCCTTCAAGAAGAAAAAGGAAACACAGCAGCATTAACTAATCAACTTCAATAACAAAGGGATTTGAGTGAGAGACACCCTTTCAACTGGAAAACCTACGGGGACATATTTAAACATATTAAATGTGAGACTGAAGAAAAATCATAAATGTTTATACTTACATGCACTTCCACAGTACTGGTGTGCGAGCTGATGTTGGCGCTGGTTAGTGCCAGTGGTTCAGCGCACATCTGGCAGAGGCGTCTCATGAAGCCATGGTCTGGGATACGTACGCCAACAAGCTGAGGACAAATAAACATGGACATTTATTCATCTATAAAACTTGTGTTTGCATTTTCCTTAAGAATCAAATCCAGATTCAAAGAGTGGACCTACTGAGGTAAAGGGGTTGAGATCTGTGTTGAGTACTTCAGATCTTTCGAACACCAGAGTGACGGGACCAGGCAGCAGGTCGGCTAGCAGCGCCTCCTTCACCTTCACCTTACAGAACCTGACCATGGAAGCAAACAATGATTACGTTTAGAAGAAAACAAGTCATTATCTATGCAATGTTAGATACTACTGCACATTTCCACATTGCAATTCTGACAACATGAGGCGCTTTCACACCGGAGTACTTTTCCCAGTATAGTTCCGATATAGTTCCGAAAATGTGCGTTCACACCAAAAAAATCCGGAACTAAAATTAGTTCATGAGAACCTTTTCACCCCCTTTTCAGTCCCTGCTAGAGAGCAGGTACTTTCGTGGGAGAAAAAGGTTCCCATTTCTGATTGGCTGGGCGGATTGCAAACCACGCCCCGTAAAACTCCCAAAAAGTTTTGTGAAGCCGCCATTTTATTTGCTCGCATTAGCATTATTAGCATTAGCCCAGCGCAGAAACGCAGAGAGACTAACTTATGGCAACACAAAATAAAACATGGGAGCGGTGGAGATGAGGAGGTGTCGGCGTTAATAGCGACAACAAGACTCTGACTCCGGGGACTTCGGGTGGCAGTATACGCCGTGAAGTTGTTTGCGGCCTGCCAGTAAACCCAAAGCAGAAGAAGAAGAAGTGACATCAGCGGCTTCATTTGCCTAATCCTCCCCCAGGGACTTATTCCGGTGTGAACGCGATCTGCTCTTTAGTTCATCAGAACTAAAGAGTTCTGATGAACTAAAAAAAGCGCCTATTGTGTCATTTCTTAGTCTGCCTTGTCTCCTCTGTATTACTTTGTGATCTACCAACAAATGAATTCATGAATATGGTGTCTTTCTGTGACAGCAGGTGTATCGGTCACTGGAAATGTAAAATGTGTCTTGTTGGTGTGAAGAACACATCGCTTCCTCTTCTGTGTGTGACTCATCTGTGGATGACTGACATGTTTGTGCAGTTTTGTGGGTCTGCAAAGAAACCATCACACGTCTGAAGGACTGACACATACAGTTGGAACTGATTTTTTGTTAATTACACTAACAAATGATAGCTCTGTTTGACAAAAATCATGTCCATCAAACAACAGAATCTCCCCATATCGATCTCTAGTTGTAAAGCAGCAGTACAAACACGTACTTATAGATATCCTGGATTTCTCCGACGCAGATGGCCAGTGGTTTATTTCCATTTCGTCCTTTGATGTCGTAGATTTTTTTGACCGCTTCAGAGTTCTGGGTGAGACACGCCAGGCCGTAGATGGTGTCTGTGGGAACAGCGACCACATGACCCTCCTTTAGAGCCTTCACCGTGCAACTCAGGACTTCAGCACCATCTGCAGTTCAAAAAGGAGGGGTCAATAAGGCATCATTCACCACAATACACACATAATTAAATAATTTGTCGATTGGAAATGGATTTTGGGGTAATGAAGGGCTAAAAGAAATACATGAATTAGATATATTATTGAAGATCTGCATATAAAGGAGACTACTATATGAAAGACTATGTCCTTATAAGAGTAGTCATATTCAACCTTATGGAAAAAGTAGAATTCAGCTATGTTGGAGCTCAACCTACATATACACCTGGGATTAGAGCTCCCCTATGTTTGGCATATTGCTCAACATCTTTAAGAAAAACTAAATAATACATTAGCACAATAATTATGTTTAAATATGTTTCTTCTTTACTCAGGATTTTGAAGAAACCAAGCACCACATTTTCCAAAATAAAGGAAAGTCTTCAAATATATGATCAGATAATAAAGCTCTTGATTAATTTTTGTGGCGAAAAAAAAGGAAAATAAAGTAAGGTGTAACACACATGTTTTAAGTAGTAGCACTGCAGTCGAAAGTATTGGACTATGAAATTGGATCTGTGTAGGTGTGTATTCGGCTGTCCAAGTCATTCGTGACAGGAATCTGATGTAACATGCTGCAATGTTTACGTTACTCACTGACAAGCATCGCGTGCAAATGCTTCTTCAGTGGCTAAAAATAGCTGTCAAATTCTCAAACTGATGTTATAACAGGGATGCACTTTTGATGTGAATGTAAGCCGACCTGTGAAGCCCTCCTGATGGACAGACGGCCCGCTGCAGCTCTGCGGTAACAGTCGCAGCACTTTGGTCTTCAGCTCTTTACACATCTCCCCTCTGAGTCTAAGAGCTGCGGCTGAGCTGTGAGCTCTTCTGGATTTGATTAATTCAACAGCGATGTTACAAACAGGCCTCATAAAAGCGAAGCTCCAGCGGTGGATGTCTCATTTCAGCCGGGGAGCATGTTGTCGCCTGATGAAATAACAGAGTGCTTCCGGGTTACGCCCCCAACACAATGACGCGGTTTTCTTAAAGGGCCAGCAGCACGTTGCTTCAGAAAAAAAGGTTTTAGTGAATTATATGTTTTTTATATTTGATTGTAATGAGTCCAAAGATGACATTAAAGGAAACATTTGATACAAACATGGATCGGTTGAAAAGTGTATTTTTGTACAGCTGTCCTTGAATTATTTGGAATATCTTTTTTTAACAGTTTTGTGCTTTTTTTGTTATCTGTTGATGTTTGTTTTTTTTACCATCATAGTAAAAACTTGCATGCCGAGAAGCACCGTCAAACAGAACCCATTTTAAAATGTAGACAACTTAATAAAAAAGTTTTGCTTTAAAGATAAATAGGCACAATTACCAATCTTGGTATTTACTGGAACTTTTTCAAACCGTCCAGACATAGCACATTTGTCAACACATGTATTCCATTTGTATGCTTCCAGGTGTGTTCCTTGCTTCACCCATTCATTAGGATAATGTAAGGCACCTGCGAGCATTGACTTAAATCATCTGAAAGCAGGATCAACATAGAAATCGACAGTTTACAGGACATGAAATAACGTTTTAGTCATGGATTCAAACACAGGTAAGAAAACATGCACTTTTCAGCATACTTTAATGTTATTAAGTTGTCTCGAAGTATGTTTTTAAAAAGTTACCTGTGGTACAGAAGGCCCCCTGACCCTGCAGACAGATGAAGGCGTTGCACCGGACAAACAGGTGAGCCACTATCTGAGATTTTGATGTCTCTCTGCCCAAAAAGGAACTCATTTATCGACAGGTTTTCCTCCACAGGAACTGGAGGATGTCAGCGACAGACTGGTGACCCTTTCAGATCATATTACAATATGCAACCAAGTCCTGAATGACCTCAAAGAACTAAGTGACATCCTAGTGGTAAGCTCCCTCTTTTCTCTTTGTACTGATGTGACTTAATGCAGATTATGTTTTTTACTTTTTCTTTATTTCCGCAGAGAAAATCTCTTCAGGATGTGACATTACCTCTGGAGGACTGAGCAGAAGTGAAACTCTTTAATTTGTTTTAATTATTAATAAATAAAGATGTCAATATCAATTTGATCAGTAAAACTTCATTGAGATGGAGAAGAAAACATTTCAGTGACAAGGATAAGGTTTTATTGTATTATATTGCTCTGTCCAGAAATGTATTTATAATATTACTTTGTACGAAACAAGCAAACATTTTCACATTATACATTCTCTTTAAAAAAAATACAAATCCTTAACAATTCATCGCTCTTTGGGTGTCAAGACATTTATTTCGAAGTATATGGTTTTTTCTTTATTTTGCCCAAATAGAGAAATGTAAGGAAATCTGGAAGTCTATTTCCAAAAACACTTGCTTCCAAACAAATGTCTCCCCCAGTGATTTCTCCCGTTACCATTAAGGTCAACTTAAACAGAAAAAACCCATAAATCTGCTTATTGATTAAACAAATAAGGGCAGCTGTTGAACTTTTATTTGATGAGGCAAAAAAAAGAAAAGCTGAGATGATTACATTAATGGCGTGAGCCCAAATAAAACATGTTTACGCATAAAGTGTAAAAGAACAGAAAAAGAAGCTGCATACATTTGACCGAAAATAATTCTTAAAACAGAATTTAATGATTCATTCAGTAAATACTCCTTCAAACAAGTCCAGTTGGTTCGAACAGCATGTCAAAGGATCAGTACCTTAAACACAACTCCAAATATGAAATGCAATTGACTGGAGTTCAATAAACATTGTTCTGCCTATAAGGTTGTGGCAGGATATCATTAAATAGAGGGGGGGGGAATAAATAATCTTTATTTGAACTGGATGCCACATGTAAACTTGCATAGTTGTGTTCTTTGACTGTATGCATTTGTGATCATATGTATTGATGGGATGAACTGGCAGTCATTTTGCCGAGTGCTTCAACAGGGAAATGGTGAGTAAACGATTTTGTAATCCAATGGAACCGAGTGCAAACTCCTGATCTCTAATACTGCATACGTGGAATGGTTTTAGAGCACAAAATGAGTGACTGCAGTCTTTCACAACATGTCTTACTGCCTTCTTGGCACATTTGTATCGAAGGAAAGCTTCACTGTTCAAAAGTTTGGCAGGAAAACAAAGAAAAAAAGGCAAGACAAATGATGTGACATGCACATTTGATCCTACAACCCGGATCCAATATATCTTCACTCGTTACGCTGCATATCCAGTGATGACTTTCCCAACAGACGGCTGTTTCTAGTCAAACAAAAAGCTTTTCTGTCTCGTTTGCCTCATTGTGATCTGCTGCTGTGTGATTGCCTGAGACTCGATGAAGATGAGCGTGTCGGCGTTTCAATGGCAGGTCTGTCTGAAGCGGAGACTGTGAAGGCAAGGAGGCTCACAGGACAGTTTGTAAGGCCGAGTAGCTCCACACTCTAGTATACAGGGCATAATGCCTACGTTCTATCATTGCATTGTGTCCCGTGTGAAACAATACTGTTGAATTATACTCTGAGCATATATATTTAGTTAATATGGGGACTGTACATAAAGCCCAGCTGCTTGATTCAACTAAACACAGCAACAACTATTCTGCATAAATGTGACTGTGTGAATGCAAGGATAGGATAGAGGGTATACATAAGCTCCAAACTCTGAGTAAGTAATTCAAAAGTCTATACAAAAATACAAATTCTAGAATAATCTACAAGTTTCTCAAAGATTTTTACACTGTACTGTATTTACACCATCTTTTTTTAAATGCTACTTTACAGCAGTTGTGTACAAAAAAGTCCGTAGTGGTTCTGCACCTCAGCCAACAAGCTGTCAGATCACTCACTTTACAAGTGTGCATTGCAGGGAAGAGTGCAGCCAAAGGCAGGGCGAGCGTGGGGCGTCTGGTGAGAGAGCGTTTGAGGAACTAATGAAGGGAACCAGGATCACTAATGACTTGATGCATCCCTGAGAGGGTCACAACCCTATAACATATGGGATGTTGACAGTAGTTCCTTACTGTTTCATGTGGACAATCTTTGCAAACAAGAGGATCCTTGAGTCATTTCTTTTACTGTGCAGTCTACTATAGAGGCCTATTTTCTTGCTTTTAGCAACACCGTTCTCAACAAAGAGAGAAGTAGGAAAACATCAAATCAGTAACACAAAAACAGCTCAACACAAAAGTACAACAATTGATTGGAATAAATTATTAGATTTCTCTCTGCTATCTTGAACATAATTGCCAGTATAATGAAAGAATCAAGTTTAAATAAATTAACATGTACAATTTTAAATTAGTTTAAGTTATAGGCAACTTATGAAGTATTAATTTCACTTAAAAACAGGCAGATTGGATCCCAGGTCATTTTCTCAATTGGTAAATAACAAAAAAAAATAAAGAAGGAATAATCACATTTTCTGGACAACACTAGTCTTCCTAGAAAACAAAAACACTGAGGAATTACTTCATATTGAGTATGAGGGGTGTGTGGCCAACCCCGTCAAATTCCTACTGGGAGCATTGCCTATTCAAATTAAACCCTCTAATATACAGTGCATTCTGGTCCGTTGCAGACCAGCTAGAAGCATTCGTGAGGACCTGTAGTACAGTACAAGGATATACAGACACGCTTTGTCTTCCTGCTCCGGTGTCTGACATTCAAGCCAGGAACATGGACATATTAAGTCATCAGTGCTTGGACAACACTCATTTGTTTTGATCGATTTAGAGTGAACATCGAGGGTTACCATGTACACTTTGATTATGTTCATAACAAGAGGATCTACTGCCTTTCCCTGCAATCATTAGCCACACACACACACACACACACACACACACACACACACACACACACACACACACACACACACCACACACACACACACACACACACACACACACACACACACACACACACACACACACACCACACACACACACACACACACACACACACACACACACAACACACACACACACACACACACACACACACACACCACACACCACACACACACACACACACCACACACACACACACACACACCACACACACACCACACACACCACACACACACACACAGAGAAGTGGCATTGCTGTGGAGGAGCACTTGAGAAGTGTGTGGATTGGCTGCCTGGTGATGAGCGGGCGCAGCGGGGAACACGAGGTGCCAGGCGCAGCTCTTCTAAGGATTGCCATCAGTGGTCATGCTGAAGTCATGAGCTTGTAGCAGCAGAGCCTCGATGGTGTCCTCCGTCTCCGGACTCTGCAGGGAGAGGAAGTCCGACACGTCCATGTTGGCTAACCCTTCAGACGAGGGAGGGTTCGTGGCCGTGCTGCTCACTATCGAGGAAAAAGTCTGAGCTCTGGAGAAGGAAGCAGAAGTGGGGGCCTCCGGTATCACCTCACCCACCTTTGAGGAAGACTCGGTGCTTGGAGTAGAAGTGATAGAGGAGGGTGGGTGTTGCAGAGGCTCTGGGGGTTGTGAAGGCGGGGGAGGGGGGGGAGGAGGGGGAGGAGGTGGGGGTTGCGGCTGTGCTGGGGCTGAAACAATGGAGGAGGCACTCTTTGAAGTCCTTTCTTTCGCAGCGTCCCTGCAGGCACACTGGCACTGGCAGGACTCCTCCTGTTTGATGATGATGACGGGCAGACTGAGGCCGATCTGCTGGACCGAGCTGCCTGAAAACACAAACACAGATTCACTGAAAACAGGAAGTACACAACTTTCCAAATCTCCTGTAAAGCATATGGAAAGAAAAGGACAATAGTTAGGATGAAATGACAGGGGGCCAAAAACAATGATGATAAATATATTGTCACGGTATTTATACTAAATGTAATAATATTAACATATTTATTAAAATGTCATTATGAATTAGTGTAGGAAGGTGTAGAGTCTGTACCCATACAAGTAAAAAAGCAAAAACAACAACAACACCAATGGATAATATATGGTGAGAATGGAAAGAACTCAAAATGATTTCATCTGTTACCATGGTATGGATATTTGTTAGGGATGCTCCGATCGATATCGGCCGATATTCACTCTCTGCCGATCGATCGGTGCTCTCTATAAAAGGCCGACCGTGAGAGCCGATCACATGACGTAAAATACATGACACTGTGCAAAACTAGCTCGCCAAAATGGCTTCACCGGTCTGGCAGTATTTTAAGGTTTTAAAAAGACAGTAAAATAGCGGAATGCAACGTGTGCGTGAAGCAGAAATCCTGCAGCTCCGCCCGCTGTGACGGACCGGTGAGCGGAGCAACACACACACTAAGAGTCAGACACACTTAGCTATTTGATCTACCTCTGGAACAAGCTAAACTAGTTATACATATATTTATTCTTCACTGTCGGGTCACTCATTACTGGATCAGTGAGCTGCATGAGATACTGACAGGCTGTCAGGAGAGGGAGGGAAAGAGAGGCTTCCGCTCATCTCTCTCGTGTTATTCTCCAAAGTTAATGCAAACTTGAATAATGTACTTCAGTTGAATGTAATAATTATGTTGTTTGTGGAAGCGCCAGTGAATGAGCCCCATTAACTGAGTATTAAATGGGAGATCCCCGTAGGCCCCGCCCACTCGATCGGATCGGTATCGGCCGATACTGATTCCGGCGATCGGCCCCAAAATTTGCGATCGGAGCATCCCTAATATTGGTATTTGTGTAATGTCACGGTCAGTTTCAAACTGAGAAGAAAGCAGAGGGACAATATCCCAGACCTCTTGAAAAAGCAAAGATCAAAAGTTAATGTTAATTATAAAATATTTAGTGGGATACTGTTGAACTGTTCTAGCACTGTGCATCAATAGAGGAAAAGCTTCTGGGCATGTGTGATTTAAATCTAGTGACAGAATGTTAGTGGAGCTCCCAGGACACCGATCTACTGTGTTATCTATCCCATTAAAGCTCAATTGCATTACATGTCAAAACAAACAAGTGATTCAATGACAGCCTTTTGTTCAATGTCCGACACAGGAACTACGGTTCAGAACTCTTACCCGCACTTCCTCCCACTGGTATGGCTGTTGTGAAGAAAACCTTTTCTACTTTTGCACCTCCTGGATGTGTCTGCAAACAAACATTAAACAGTTAAATCAGGATCAAAAAGCCAGGGACTACTGTAGAAACATACGGACAATACTTCTAACTGTATTAAAGGACCGTCTGCGTGGTCCAACTGTTTCCTTATCATAAGTAATATTGATCAAATTAACACTCATTCCTTTGCTACACAGTCATTTACAATAACAATTGATTTGTTAAATGTATACTCTAATTTAGTTTCAAACTGCATTGTGTGTTGCAAAGTGTAATCCTCTTACATGCACATTCTCACAATAACAAGAGAAAATGCAAATGATCCATGATTTGATCCATGTAGGGATGTGTTTTTAAACTTAAGGACGCATTGCACAATCATAACTGGTACAAATGAAACCTCTGTGGGAGCATTACTCACCTGGTCGGGGTTCTGCTGGCTGTTGGCAGCAGTGCTGAGGATCCACTGCAGGTTTTGGTCGGACATGACCAGGCTGGGCTGCAGCAGGTTGGAGGTGGAGCCTATGGTGATGGTGGCAGGGGTGGGAGCCAATCCCGAGCCAGGGTTGGGGACGGGGATGGAGACAGGGTTGTTGGCCAAAGGCAAAGGTTGAGCCACTGTCACAGCAGCAGTGTCTGCTGGTGGAGCTGTAACAGCCACAGCCACAGGGCCTGGTGGTGCTGCGGGGCCCAGCGATGGAGCCACAGGAGGGGATGTGGAGACGGCTGGTGGTGGAGGAGCAGGCGTGATGGCGTTATCCGACTGCAGGAATGTGGGTGGTATTGCCACAAAGTGCTGGGAGGGGGCATTGTTTGGTGCTTTGGCAGGTGCCCCCGCAGGTACATCAGGGGTCTGCTGAGGCCCGGTCACTTGAACGAAAGGTGTGGAGCTGACGGTGGAAGGGGCGGGGGCGGGGGGGGAGGCCTGAGAGGAGGAACTGTGGATGAGCCGTGCAGGAGCCTCCAGGACAGCAGTCGAGTGTGAACAGGAAGATGAGCAGGTGGGATGGAGAGAGAAAGAGATGAGAGACGAGCCGTCAATCCCTCCCCGCGGGGTCGTCATCTCCAGACTGAACGACTCAATAAGGCTCTCTGAGGAGAGAGGAAAAAACACATCAATAAACAAGAACATTCAAAACGACTTCATCAGGTTCTGAAATGTACTCACCGTGCTGATGGGCATCATCTTGGCTGACACTATTTTCAGGACTCTGGAACATGAGCTCAAAGATTTTCACAGGAGTCACATTGTTCAGGTCCAAATGAGCCTGTAATGAAATGAAAACTTAATAAACTCATAATTCCTAAAACAGAGACAGCTGAACTTGTTGCCAATATGGATGCCAGATTCTTGAATCTCTCGACAACTCTTCGGCTGCGTGAATGTCTGTTTGTCAAAGCTGAAGCGAAGGCCAGACTCACATTATGGATGTTCTCCCGGAGGTCTGAGTCTGTCGAGATGAGGCTCAGGTCACTGAGGCACAGCGAGTGATTTGCATCCTGTAATTAAAACATGAAGCAGACCCGATTAAACTCGACACTGTTGTTGTATTTAGCACAATTGTAAAATAATGCAACACCTGCTGAATAATAATGTAATTACCACACAAGCTAAACTCGCAGCTAATGCCAATCAATGACAATTATTCTTTAGAAAGCCGTGTCCATGTGTTTAGTTCGAGTGACTTCATCTAAATCCTTTTTTCCATTTAAAATGTGTGGTGTAAACATCTCAAACTCCTTTTCAGACTATGGCGACACCTTGCAGGTATACAGGTTTGAGTTTTGTTTGGCCAGCTCATGTCTAGAATACCTCACATCTAGTAGCAAAAGTTGACACATTTGCTTGAGAGCATAACACAAGTACTGTGTATGTGATAACATGCACTTGATGTCCCCACATCAAAAGAAATATAGAAGCGAAAGAAACAACATCTGAATGCAGTGAATAATATGAGGACCACAGAGTCATGTTGCGCTCATGACTCACTTCAGAGAGCGGATGTGTGAGGGTGACGGTGAAAGGCTGTCCTTTGTCGTGACCCCGGACGTGACTCTTCAGGCTGTACTGGCTGCTGAACGTCTTCTCACAGCCGTCACTGGTGCAGTTGAAAGGCTTCTCCCCTACAGAAGAGGAGGGGGGGGGGGGAGGGTAAGAGAGGTAAGAACTCACCTTTACAGCTTAATGAAACCACAGGAGTAACCGTAGCATATTTATACATAGGTGGAACATGAAAGGCAGATCAGAATATAGGAACTAAGTCAGCAAGTTAGACTGTTGATCACCTGAACTTTTGAAAGAACATCCATAACATTCATGTGTTGGCTTATAGACTATTCTGCACTATTTCTATTATATTCCATTTAATTGTATTTACTCGCACTATTTCATCTGTGTTATTGTGTTGCACTGTTGGAGGAGCCTGAGGTGTTCATTGACATAACTACACTGTAGCTATGCACACATGACAATAAAAGCCTTGAGCCTTGAATCTTCTTAATGGCTGCTCCTTTAAATAAATGCTGCACACACATTTGAAAAGGTAGACATTAGCATATATCTGGTCGGGCAATTCAAACCAACTGTGTGTGGGAGGGTTTGGAAACAATGTAAATGCAAATCAGGCAGAGCTGAACAAACAAATAAACATGTCCTCGTTCAAAAATATTCAAGGTTAAATCAAACAAATGAGGAATATGTACCTGTGTGTGTCCGTACATGTGTTTTTAGGTGATGACTCGCAGCAAAGGCTTTACCACAGCCATCGTGGTCACACCTGAGGGAAAAGAGGGAACATTATGTCAGATTCGCGATAAATAACACATACATTTGATCATTTTTCAGATTTTTCAATGCACCTGCTCAAATTAAAAGAACTTGACTCATGATATAGCGAACTATCACTAAATAAATGTGTTGAATACTAGGGCTGTCCCGAATACCATTATTCGGGCTCCGGATATTCGGTAGTAATCAGCAGCGAACCGTTTCGACACGTGTATTTCGGTTTATTCACGGCATTCTTTTTGTTATTCTACAGTATTGTTGTTTTATAGTTATTTGTTAATGTATACAATCCAATTTGTGTTCTTTGAAATTGAAAAGGATATTGCATTGTGTTTGTTACTTTCGTTGCAGTTGTATATGTCTTAATGTAATTTGGCTTGGCTTTCTATTTGTAGGGACATGCTTTTATTTTGAAGGAGAGTTAGCGCAGTTGACAGGAAGTTGTTGTTTCTATGGAAACAATGTGACGGAGATTAATGGAGAAAAAGTAATATCTACATATAAAGATGGAGAAAGTAAACGATAACGTTTATGGTTAAGTGTTAGCACCCCCCGAAGAGGCACAAGCGCTTACGTTGATAATGGAGATTTCAATACATTAAAAAACGAATATCCGAATAACGAAATTGAAACCCGAATAGTACTCCAACGAACGAATATTCGGGTACAGCCCTATTGAATACAGAGAGAGAGAGAGACACACTTGGTTAAACTTTTAAATACGAAAAAAACTATGTATTTGTATAAATCAGCAAACATTACAATACAATATGTATGTATTGAATGTGTGTGTGTATACAGGGGCGCCGTTTACCGACAGGCAAGTGCTTGGACCAGAAGGGGGCCCCCAAATAAGGTAGATTAATCCAATCCAACTTTATTTATATAGCACTTTAAAACCGACCAAAGTGCTGTACAGAGATACATAAAATATAAAATCACACAGCTCAGCCCACAAAACATAAAATAAATACATTTAAAATAAAAGATACAAACACAAAACAAACCAGAATAAACGTAACAATTTCATAATAAAAAAATAAATAAAAAAAGATTAAGAAGGTCCACAGCAACGACAACATGAAACACCCTTTCATTTACTGCAACGACATGTCGGGAAACCCCCTCAAGGGGGCCCCATGCATAGCGCCGAAATTGTTTCGTTGCTCCGCTCCGGGGGTGGGGGGGGGGACTTTACTGGCATTGATCCGGACCATTGACCTTGTATAAAATTCACAAGTGGACCTTTAACAAAAAAGTTTGAGTACCCCTGTCCTATACGATCATTTCCTGATAACGATGAAGCCATAGCCCCGCCTCTACCCACCTCTGCTGCTCACCCCCACGTCATTGCTGATCTGTTTCGCCAACAACAACAACAATGGCGGATCACAGGGTTGCTTTCGTGCTCCAGACGCTACTGACCATGCTACAGATGTTAGTGCAAAATCTACAGCTCCTCTACCACAACCATCAGCAACAAGTGGACATGGAGAACTACATGTTGCTAAATCCACCGCGGAGAATAAACAGAAGGGCAACCAGGCAACCAGGCAACCATGCTCGGGGGGGGGGTCTTCTTCACTGCTTTTGGTGTATTTTGTGGCGGAAGTACAGCGCCACTTACAGGCCCGGGATATGTACTACAGCGTTTCCAGTGGGTCGAGTGGTCTCGAGTGGACTGACATGTTTCTTGAGCCAATTCCGTGTGGACGGAAGACTTTTTTGATATCGCCTAAGGTTCGTTTTCGTCTCCGTGTAAACGTGACCTTAGTTAAACTTTTAAATACGAAAAAAACATTGTATTTGTATAAATCAGCAAACATTAAACTGACTAAAAGAGCTGTCTGTGAGTATCTATTAGTATCATAGCTACTAATGGATTAAAACTGGTGTGATAATGGAAATGCTCACCGGAACGGTTTCTCCCCAGTGTGTGTGCGAATGTGCTTCCTCAGGTCGCTCAGTGTGGTGAAGTACTTGGAGCATCCGTCTGATTCACAGTTGAATGTCTTGCCTGTGTGAAGTCTCTGGTGTGCTTTCAGTCTGCAGAGACAAGTAAGTGCTAAGTGTTATTAAACATGCAGTGGCAGTGAAAAAGGAAAGCTTCAAATATGAGTGGCATTGCAGATTGGCAGGAGAACCGAATCCACCACCAATGTGTGGCTTTGGTTCATTGTCCTGAGTACGACTATCTGACAGCAGTGGCACAGCTTCACCAAGCCACAGACATGTTGCCATAGAAACTGAACCAATACCCCCCCCCCCCCCCCAAAGTAAACTCGAGAGTGAACAACACAAGATCACAGCAACATTTAAACCGTTAAAACTCTATAAAAACAGGCTTAAAATGAATCAAATATAGAATGAAAGTGTAATTGGGCCTTATGTAGCATCATTATCTGCGGTTTCAAATTCGGACAATTCAGAAAACAGATGTTCCTCATTTATAAATGACACACAGAATCTTTTACTGGGATTGTCCCCATTGCAGGTTGCATGACTCTCAACCAGTCAAGTGTCAGTTTACAACCACAGCATTTATGAATACTTTAAATATGAACAACATGTGTTTTGTAAGGTCAACAATGTGTCTGTATGGCAACAGTATACACATTTAAATTATATTTAATGTTGTATTGTGTCAATCTCATATTGCAAAGTTAAACATGTCAGTACAGTGGCAACACAAGTCAATCAACTGTTCTGTAAGCAGTGTCTACAGTTTTTAAACACTGCTTACAGAACATATACTACTTATGATCTGAGCAGCAGCCATGAGTAGAAATAAAGCATAAGCTGTGTAAAGGCGTACCTGTATAACGTGTTGAAGGCCTTCTCACAGCCATGCACATCACACTCAAACGGCTTCTCCTTGGTGTGAACGCGGACATGGATCTTGAGGCTGTAGGAGGTGAGGAAGGCCTTCCCACAGCCCAGCTGATTACACACGAATGTGTACTCGCCCCGGTGCGTCTTCTGGTGCGTTCGCAGGTTTCCCGCCGTGCTGTACGTCCTGGTGCAGCCTTCGAACATGCACTGGTAGCGCTTCACCTGGAAGAGGAAGAAGACGGAGGGGATATCAGTGCCATGGATGAATTCAAGATCCAAGATTCAAGGCTTTATTGTCATGTGCACATTAGCTACAGTGTAGATATGGCAATGAAAAACTGAACGCACAGCTTCCTCCAATAGTGCAACATGAATATATTATATAGAACAAAACAGAGAAAATAGTGCAAGAGAATGTTTTGAGATGTGCAAGTAAATACAAATAAAATAGAAATAGTAGAAAAACTCTAGTGTATGCAATCATCCTGAAACTAAGGAGTCAAATCGAATGTCCTCTCTTAAAAATGAATGAAATCGAATGTAAGCCTGTATTTAAAAGCAATGCAAGTAAAAGTGAGTGAAAGCAATGTGAAATATGAATCCATCCAGGTATAAATAGCATTAAAAGTGTCAGTGTGACCTTTCAGTCGTTACTTGAACTCAGTGACTCAGCACATGGAGCGGGTGAACACAAAGGACAGTCATGATGACTAACCCCCACTGCAATATACATCCAACTCAATTCTGTTTCACAGCGCCAATCTCCACTGCAGTGTGTGGCGGTCTCCTGCTCTCTCCTCACACAAAAGCCCCGGGGCCGTGTGAATAAAGGCAGTTCATTCTCTGCCTGAAAAAAAATGCTGTTGAACACAAAGTCAGGAGGAGGAAGCTTGTGGCGGGCCAACAAAAGGGTCCTCTTTATCAGCTGACATCTTTCTTGTAACTGCTCTTGAATGAATGAATAAATCCACCATAAAATGACCCATCAAGATGACAGAGATAGCACACTGCTCTTTTACCCCTGGCCATATTAGAACAGGCTGCTGAGTGTAACATAAGAAAGAGAAAATGTCATGGTCACAGAATGTAATAATTAAAAAAACATTTGAAATATCTGCGCACAATTTCAAAGATAGCAAGGAAACTGAAATGACATGTTTTATGACTGAATGACACTTAGCAGTTAAATGCTACTGCATGATGACCATGATGAGAGGATGTGTTTGAATGGTAAATAACGACACATCGGTATAAACCCTACCCGGTTCATCCTTCGTTTGAAATGCTTTTCACCAGAAAACAATCTTAAACAAATCTAATCACTCCATGAATAGGAGGACAAGTTGTTGTTCATGCAGTGAAAGTGACACAGACAGAGCTGATTCAATCTCCTTTCAGTCTTAATAACAATCACTAATCTGAGTGATGGGTAATCGTCTACGGCCATTCATTCTGATTGCAGTGATGTGGGAGAGATGATTTGTTAAGCAAACATCCGTGCAGAGCTCCTGTAGAAGGCCTGCTAAAGCTTGTCACTTGTATTCATCTCCCACACCATCGTGAGTCCACCATCACTTCAATCATTGTGAGAGAGCATTGTATGCGGTGGTTTCCCACATACATAGTGGGAAAAGACTGAGTGTGTTTACAGAAAGAAATCACTCAGTGCTGGATGTTCAATGGCATTGTTTTTTCTTCTGACACTTGGTGAACAGGAGGCTGGAATCTTCTACGGTCACTCTTGTATCCTCTCTACTCGTCATGCTTGTCAAAGTGAGGCTTAAACCCTTCTGTGTGGTACAAACTGAATACAATGCACACGGTACAAGTTGCACCACAATGCAGTGTTTCTATATTCATATCAGCCTGTGACTGCAACACTGGGAGACTCCTTCAAAAAGGAAAATGCACGTTTATGTGTTAAATCTAAATAATATTTGACAAAGAAGCAAGATGGAGCTTCGTTTAGTTCTCCTAATGTCTGGCATGTGCAGTGAAGTTTATGGATAGTGAAGTATGGTGAATAGCTTAGATCATCGTCTTCTTGGAAATTGAATCTGTGCCTAGCAAATCAAACCATAATGTCATAACAATGACACTGGTAACCACAACAATAGATACAACAACAATGCAAGATTACATTCAGATTCAAACAAACACTGCAATACAACAGTAACACCAACAAATACGGGCCACACTCTACAGAGGTGGGGGTTTGCATTTTTTCGATCCTCGTGATATTATGCTGGGGGGTTAAAAAGCCTTACAGCTTCACACACACAGGACTCTGTACCCGCAACCTTATTTTCACTGAAAAGAGGGTGCGATACATCGACAATACTGTCCGTCATTGTCACAAATCACACTCGTGAAAAGTAGGTTCCTATAACCGTCCGTGGCTGTGTAATGTTTCACAATTTCAATACTCATTCTCCGTGCTATGGCAAAAAGGTTTTCTCCGTGCTTCAAACTTGACTGACACCAACTAGGAATCCCATAGGTCCCATGTACAATTCATTTCTCATCTTCATTGATCAAACAACGTTGGCTAGGTCATCAGAAAATAAACTATTTCAATCAGCACTGAAGAGAAAGTGATCCTTTGTCGGGCTCTGTATAATTAACATTGGATAAAAACACAGCACTCCACCTTCAGGATGATTATACTATGCACATGCAACTGTAGAAATCTCTCCATTGAAATAAAGTCTTAAAATATGAACACATTGAAAAAGAACAAAAACAACACGAGCGCATCGTTTAGGTAAATAAAGATGAGCTTTCCTGGAGGATATCCTAGCATGCTCCTTTTATAACTTTTATTTGAAAAGCAATGAGTAACCAGATTGATAGGAATCCTCTAAAAACTCTTCCTAACAATGGATGTTGAGGCAGCTTACTGGTCAGTTCACACACTGTTGCTGTGTGTAGCATTTCATTGATGGGATGTAATGTGCCTCATCTGAAATGTGAAACAACGGATTAAAAACTAGGGTTGCAAAAATCCGGGAATTTTCAAAGATGGAAACTTTCCATGGGGATAAACTGGGAATTTTCTAAATTGAAGGTTGGCTCTTCGTAGGGAACTTAGATATAGTTGGGGAAAGTATATTTGAGCATAATCTTGACTAAAACAAACAGATGCCATTCAAGTACACTTGAATATCCATGCCATAGCACACTGCTTACTGCATGGCTATTGAGAGCACACCCCCTAGAGGCACTGTGCATTCCTCCATCACATGCACACATGATTTCTAGAAGTCATATTTAACTCAACATTCATGTTTTGTTCTTCAATGAAACAAATGATTGTTCAATCAAATAATGAAAACTTGTTCTGTTCTACTTACAAATAAATCTGTTGAAATGTCCTGTTTTTTAATGAATCATTTTGCATGGATGTTTTCTTATGACAAAACTAAATGTTTATATTTCTGCTTGGTGGATATGACACAATTCGATTACTTTACCCTCAATTCCCAGCTTAACTTCCCATGGAAATGTACCGCCCCTTTGCAACCCTACTAAAAACACAGGGCTTTTTTCTTTCAGCACTCTTACTCAGCTGGGGCCAACTGCTGACACTCCCTGTCAGATGGTTTTATAGTCCACTTGCAATAACTAGACTGGGATAGCTGTCCAAATATGTCAAATCACCACAAGAACACGGAGAGTATGCAGTGTGTTGTGACTGAGTGGGCTTAGCTCAAGACTAGCAGTGGGGAAGCAGGGGGACACCATTAGCAGACACGAGCTGAACTATATCGCAATCAGCCATTCTTATATTGTTTAGCCCTATTTGCAATTGTACTCTGCATTCCCCCAGGGAAAGGCATATAAATAATAACACTTGTGTATTGTTACATTATGCATCTCAAAGTGTATAGACACGTTTAATCTTTAAAGTTTAAAGCATCTGCTGTTCTGTTTAGCAGTTAGCTAAAATGACACGAAGCCTGACCCTCCACATAACTAACCAAACACATCTAGAAATGATCCAGCTGCCCTCATTCTACCCTCATCTGTGTTGTAACAGGTGGGGAAATAAATGTACATAATGTGTTACTGAATTGCAGCACACAAGCTTGGTACAAAATGAAGAATTGCTTTTTTAAATCATTGTGCAGCTGTGTTCAGTCTGAACATTCAAAAGGAAAGGCCTCACTTTAGAGAATTCCACTAAAGAGATGCCCTTGGTGACCCAACAAGCAGAACATTTGTATGAAACTAGCCTTATATTCTTGGGAGGAGATGCACTTTTAGGGCTTACCTCTCTCATCTTGGTCTCGGGGCACTCGGAGTGCAGCGTGAGGGTGGCCCCCTCGATGTTGCGTGGCATACGGGTGGAGCCTGGATTTATCGTGAACTGGATCTGGTCTGGAGAAATAGTGTGGTGCACATAACCCTGTGACATCCCAACAGGGTCCGACATAAAAACCATAGAGCCATCCTCCTCATCTGCTTCCCCTTCAGTGAGGAAGGTGACCCCTTCCTCCTCCCCTCCACAGTGACCCTCCTCTTCACCTTCCTCATCTAGCCGGATAGGGTCCCGCTCAATGAGTACTGTGGTGCGGTCGTACACCCGACCAGATGACGACGAAGACTCGCCGAGCAGGTTATCATCTTTGTCAAAGTGGATCTTGTCTTCGTCTTCATCTTCATCATCCCGCCCCAGGTGTTCCACCTCTACCTCAAAGTACATCGTCGCCTCAGTATGAGGACCATTCTCACTCATGGTCCCTGGTGCCTCTCCTTCCTTGGCAAGGAGGACTGCACACTCACACTGTAGACGTTACAGCCTGAAATGTACATTTGAAAAAGTATTATTATATATGAATTATGGGAAGCTTTTGAAAGACATATGAAAACATTAAAACAGTACTTAAAAGACACAATGTGGTGTAGGAGGCTCATTGCAGGATTTAAAAAGAGTCTTATTTAAGTGTTGACTATGTTTTATATCATTAACCCATATTTGTAAACTAACTTTAGGCATTACATAAATGTAGGAGAGTAAAAGGACAATATTTACCTCTGAAATTACCTACTCAAGTACCTCAAAATTATATACCAGTGCATTACTTGAGTAAATGTACTTGGTTACTTTACACCACTGCTGGCGAGACACATCCTAAAAGATGTTTGCTATGTCTAGAGCAGGGCTTTGATAATACACTCAACACTAATGTAAACACGTCAAAGTGTCAATCAAAAGAAGGTCAACTATTTCCAGTAGGGAAAAGGGGAATAGTCCATAGTAAGCCAGCGATTATTAGGACACATTTTAGGGGAAACAAACGTTACTGAAACCAAACCGAGATCTAGAACTTTCTGATTTCGATGACAGTCACGAGACTACATCAGCGGCTAAACCCAACTAATAAACATGATTATTTCTAATCGATGAAAACTCCTCAGGTTACCTTTTTATAACACGTTATAAGTCTGAAAGATGTCACATTCACACGACAATGCCAGTTTACATTTCAGTACTTGACATGGCTAGCTAACGTTTAAAAACACAACAGTAGCTTGATAAACACGCAGTGATTCTCAGGTTTATAGACTGACAATACAGTAATGTTAACTTAATGTCACGGCACTTAGGTTAATAGCCTTCACTGTTAACAGGCTGTATACAAAAATATGCTGTTTGATACTGACCTGACGTTGTCTCACACAGTACATCTTGGTTACTAGCCTCAGAGATATGTCGCTAGCTTCCTGCTGCGAATATCAAACAGTAGGTCGTCTAGATTCAATAATATTATTATTAGCACTTCTTAACGTTGTGCGACTTCTTTGCACAGTCCACATAACAGTTGTGTATTTAGCTTGCGCGCTCCAGAAAGCAAAATATACGTACTAGCTTTAACGTTAGCCAAGTTATCCTGTTTTTCTCTGCACATGCATAGCTCTCCTAGCTAGCAACAGTTTTGACGTACAGCTAAGCTAGGGAGCCACATCAAGCCCCCAGGAAGTGCGTCGGACGTTGAAGCACATATTCGTAGTGGCCAAATGGTGGTACTACAACTCACTGTAAATCAGCGAATATATGTTGTTTAACCAAATACACTTAACAGCACGAACAGTTTCATAGCCCCTTATTTAAATCACTAGGGTATAATCTTTTAAGTAGCGCTGAAAGCGGAGATCCAGAGTTATTTTACTTCTCTATTTATCTGACTGAACCGAGAGCTGAAGATCGGAGGCGGGGCTTAAGGAAAACTCGAGTGCGCATGCTCCATGGGCCCACATACGGGTACTTTTTGGCTTCAAGCGTCAATGAGCAACTTTCATAGGAATTAACGGGGTCCCGCCTCCAACACTGTATCCCGTTCCCTTACACAGAGAGCTACATTCTGCTTCACAGCTAAGCTAGACAGTTAGCTAGAAACGTTAGCCAGTCGACACAGTTGACATAACCCATCTTCCCAGCAAAAATAACAAGCATCATGTTACCAAGTGCTAAACTGACTACACACAGCACTGCGCTAACGCTTCAGTTTAGTAGTTTCAAAAAGGAAATTACAATAACATATATTTACCTGTTAAAATGTAAGCCTTATCCCTATGCTTTGGATGTTTAGCACTTTCTTCCTATCCCCTCCCTAGGATACCAAACAACGTCACAGATTCACTCATTCGTGATGAATCATGGGAAATTAAAATAGCATTACTAATGTTTAACTAAAGCATATGTTTGTATGTGACTTTTCACTTTTTATTTGGCAAATTTGATTATATTGGCTACATTTAGAGAAGTGTATCCTCAGACAAATACACCTTATGAAATAACTAAACCTATTATTTTAGTGTTCTCTATTGCTGAAAAAATCACCAGACACAGACATTGTTTTCAAAAAATGTATATATAAAACAATATGCTGTTGAAATCAGAAACATTCAAATACACATTCTTTTTTAAATAAAAAATACAAATAAAAAAAGGTTAGGTCTCTACAGATTTGCCAGATATACATTTTACTTTGTGCCAACATATCACAAACATTGCCATCTGTGAAACAAGCTTATATCAGATAAGACCCGTCACTTACAATAATTATAGATATCTATATCTAAGAATATAAGAAATTATTCCATTGTTATTTCAATACGGGACTGTACAATTTGTAGTGTTCAGCTTCAGCGTGAAGGGCAAGAAGGAGAAGTCCTCCATCTAGGAGGAGCCTTAGGCCAGGAAGTGCTGGAAGAACTCCTGAGTCTTCCTCTTTTCTGCAAAATCCTGCTTCGTAGGCGACTTCAGGAGCAAGGAGGCAAAAATGGTGGCTATGCAGAAAGAAAAACAATTATTCATATTGCATCCCAGAATATAATATCTTGATTAGCAGTGATTCTTTTTTTTGTGGAGAGAGATATGAAGAAAGTCGATGTAATACATTATTAATTAGATAAATAAATAAAAATACCATATGTATGTTGCACCATTTAATTTTGTTCTATAGTTTATTTCATAATCAACCATTATTTTGGGTAGGTTAGGTAAACGTACATTCTATTTAACAGAAACTAATTGTTTTACTATTAAGTATTAAAACATATTTAGTGCAAACAGTCCTTGAGTCATAATCAAAACATAATATTAAAGTGCACCTATCATGCTATTTTTAGGCTATTTTTAATAGCATAGGTCTCAGATATATATAAAAAACATGTTTATGAAGTGTTTTGCTAAAAATAACAAACAGATCACCCATTCTAGCCATGCCTCATACCCCTCTATTTCACTTCCTGTTTCAAAAGTGCTGATTTGGGGTATAAAGCTTTAAAAAAAAGAGAAATAAAAAAGGAGGGGGCTGAGCTCATGCGGGACCCGGCAGCTACAACTAAATTCTGCGGTGATGAAACGCCATATCATGGATTATCAAGGATTATGTCTGAAACAGTTTGGAACTCAAAGGATTTCTCTCTTGCCGGTTATACCACAATGTGAGTTCCTTTTTATTTCCTGCTTCTTCACACACATGCTCTCCAGTACAGGTTAGCTCTGAGTGTTAGCGATGCTAATGTAAACACCGACCATATTACGTCCAAAACAGTCGGGCATTGTTTCTGATAGCAACTTTGTGATAGTGCCGTGGGTCCACATTTCCGATATTACGTCATATCGGACGCAAATCTGGATCAGCTCCGTTTTTAGAGATTTGGGTACGGAGGAAAAGAGAGAGGGTTTTATTTTCTGACGCTGCGTGAGTTCCCTGACACACCGGGTACACATATTGATGTATAAAATACATCAAAAAGTGCATTTTGCATGATAGGTCCCCTTTAAAAACAGGATTTTCATTCATTTCACTTTCCTATTTGTCAGTTTCTCTTCACTTTTTCAACATGTTGACTAAAGCAAAAGGCATCAGCTCAAAAATAACACACGCACAAGTGAAAGACGCTGAAATGCGACCCGCTTCCTTTTCTTACCCAAGATGTTGACATCTAATCGATTGCTAGTGGAATTCTTCAACAGCTCACGGAGAAAGGCAGCTAAATAGTTGAACACATTTTTATGGCACTGAGGTAGCATGGAAATGATCTGAAGACAGAAAAAGCATCTTTTAAAAAGGATAATGATTTACTTGCATAATTTAACATATTTGATAAATAGTGATCAGAGATTAACCACATGAGGTCTTACTCACTTTCTCACACTGACTGGCATTGGAGCAGCTTTCTAGGCACTGCTGGTAAAAGGAGAAAGGAACCACAGGCTGCGGGAGGGCATCTAGGAAGAGAAGCAAGGCCTCTGCTACCGAGTGGTTACTGCCCGCTGCATGACAATACAGAGTCAAGGACAAAATACTAGCGCAGAGTCTGCATTTTTTTAAATGTGTAGCTGCAAAAAAAGTGTGTAATACACTGTTACATTCCATTCGTTTAAAAAGTCCAGCCTCACCATGAATAAGAAAACAAGTGCTTTAAATTTGGCAGAAGTACCCATGTCCCTTTTGTGCTACACTGTTCAAATGTAATACACATACACAAGGCTGTTTTCGATTGATAGTAATGACTGCAACAGTGTTGAAGGATACGAAGAGAATCTGGTATGCCAGTATCAAGGCAATCCCTTATCACTGCAAATTCACTCCGGAGCCCAGGTTGCTGAAATATGTCTTCCTGCAAATAGAGGACAGAAACATTCAAACTTTGTTTTTGAGGTGTAGTGTAGCTGCAATAGACTTAATTACAATGGTTAGAAAGGACAATGGTATGTTTAAATGAGGGAGATGAATTATATTAACCACATGAAGACCACTCAAAACAAAGATCTACGCATCAGTTTTTCTTCCGATTTGTTTTGTAATTTTTTTGTGGACTTATAACATAATTCAATTTAAGGATATAACCCCGCATACAAAAAAAATGCTCCAAAAGAACCAAATCGGACTATAGTGTTCTTTGATTTTATTAAAAGGAGAACATTTTGTTTTGTTTTCTGACCTGTTTGAGTGCACTGCGGAACAAGTGATCCACCATCATCCACAGTTCTTTAGGAATGTCTAGAGGCTTTTCTGTGTTTTCAGCGTTCCCATCTCCAGACTTCTCCGCCTGATGTTAAAAACAAACCGATCAAAGAGAAGCAGTTCAATCAAAATGGATTCAACAGTTTAAAATCAAACATGCACTACCAATACATTTAAACTACTATGCTGTGGCCTATAAGACAACCCAAGGACACCGTCGCTGCTCTGGACACGGGAGCACTAACCATTTCTCGAAGAGTCTCTTGTGGCATGTCCTGGATTGGCTCCTTTAGCTGACACAATGAATGGATGGAGGAACCGTAGCAGCTGGGCAGGTAGTTTCCTGAGATAGAAATGAAGTAGTCCTTTCCACGCTCCAAGTGGAGCACCAGGATGTCTTCAATCTGCTCCTGGCCAGAGTTAAGTTCAGGCGCGGTTGAACGGTTTACAAAAACCTCAAAGTCAATGTCCACAGTCCCACCTGGAGGTCGAGAGAGATGCACATTTATGTAAAGGGGAAAATAAACGGGAAATCTACTGGCCCAAAGTCATTTATTTCTTGCCATTTCACAAATGGTTTCATTTATAAGATGCTATTAAATAACAAAGACTTAAGTTAATTGTCACATGGAATCTTTATCTTAGTAAATTATTTTTGAGTTTAACCCACATCCTCTAAAGCAGGGGTGTCAAACTCAAGGCCCGGGGGCCAAATCCGGCCCGCGACCTAATTTTATGTGGCCCGCAAGAGCTTGCAAAGAATATAATATACAATTGGTGTAATTGTTGAATATTTACTTTCAATTATTTGCCCTAGACTTCTGCTTTCAGATGTAGTTATTTAGGAAGATTTTACCAGAACTGATAATAATCCAATGCAGGGCCAACAATGTAATATAATACATTATTTAATATATATTATATATTTACATATGTATATTTATATATCATTAAAATGACAACCGGTCCTTTGAGACCAACCATAAAACCATACAACCATAATGCTGATGTGGCCCGGGATGAAATTGAGTTTGACACCCCTGCTCTAAAGCCACCATACCGCTCTCCTGATTCCAGGATAATTGAAATACTGAGTTGTACTTCATAGTTCATGAGCTCTGTATTTACCCAGCGCCTTTTTTATGTGCCCAACACAGTAACTCTCAGAGAGATGAGAAGCAAAGAATATATGCTTCATTTATCCAGAGAAAAAAAATGCATTTAAAACTTTTTTCTCCAAATGCCTGATTTAGTGATGACTTATCTTGCAAGACAAAAACCTGCCATTGTAACTCAAAACCAAAGAGATCTGGCCTCACAGCTCATAAAGTACTTCACCATTTCTCAAACCTTAAGGCAGCAAACTGAAAGATGGTAGATCAGAAAAATAGATGTGACTCTGGGATGAAACTCTGTACTTATGTGCTACTCACCGTTGGCAATGAAGCCTTTGGAGGGGTTGGCCGTGAGCCAGGCC